AGGATTTAAAAAAATAAAGTAATACTGGTCACCAGGGGAGAGGGTATCAACCAGAAAAGGGCATGAGGGGAAGCCCTGGGGTCCAGGAAATACTCCCGTATCTTCATCTGTTGATGATCACCCAGGTGTGTGTAAAAATGCACCCATGCCACTCTAAGAGTGTGCACTTTATGCACCTCAGTGTATATATGTCATACGCCAAAGGTAACAATTTTTAAAAATATCTCTCAATGCCCAGGCTGCAGCCCAAACCAATGACACCTGCATGTCTGAGAATGGGTCCCAGGCATTGGTAGCTTTAGAAGCGATTCCAATATGCAGCCAGGGTGGGACAGTACAGCCCTGTCACCGTGCTTCTTAAACTTCGATGTGCCACATCACCCAGGTGTCTTATTAAAATGAAGACGTGGGTTCAGCAGGGTGGGGCTTGAGAGAGAAAGAGATCGGGGGCAGCAGCAGAGCTCCCGCCTGTCACCAAACCAGGGAGGCTGGGGGAAGACAATAAACCCATCCCAGCTCCAGAAGGAGGTGTCCGCCCTCTAGTGCCGTCCATGGCTTCTCAAACTGAGCCGTCTGTCCCCACTAGATGTTGACTGGGCCTATTTCTTGTAACAAACAGCCAAGACCTCTTCTAGATAATTTGCAAAATTTGTAAAAATACAAAGTAAGTCAGCCTCATTAAAGGAATGTTCAGGGAAGGCCCTTATTTGCAGAGCAGATTGGTCTGAAGTCAAATCTGGCAAACCTCAGTGCTCATCTGACACCCACGTTTTACAGATGGGGTGATGGGAGCAGAGAGGGCAAGGAACTGGCCCCAAGTCCCATGGACAGAGCTCGGAGTCCTCAGGAAAAGTCGGGCCCAGAACCATACCATCGATCAGGACAGGTGAGGGCAGGCCAGACCTCAGTGGCTACACTCACTGCTTCATACGCCACGTCACTGGTTGGCCGCACCTGTTCTATGGTCTCCACGCTGGGACCCACGTGCATGGTTCAGTCTGCACCTGGAATGTGGCTGACGCTGGGCCAGAGGGGGCAAGTGAGCCACACGCTGGCTCCTGCAGTGTCTGCCTTGGGACACACGCCACCTCTACCCACCCATCCGACTATGCCTGAGCTCACAGCACTAAGACATAAGATCCTACTGTGGGGAGGGAGTTCAGAAGTCTTGGGAAGGAGACACTTGCTCCAGCAGGGATGCTCAGCTGACAACTGCTGGTGAATCAGGGCAGAAAGGCTCGGATGTGCAAGGACACATCTGTGTTCTGAAAACAAATTCAAAGAAATGCTCCAGAGAAATCAGAAGCAAATCAAAATGAAGAACTCACTCAAAAACAGGTATATAAGAAACAGGTGAGCAATGAAGCCAGTGAATAGGGGGGTTGAGCCGAAACATTTTGTGATAATGTGACTCAAGTTTAATGTCACCATGCAAAGATCTTAAGACAGAAGTGTATGTGAAAAGTCTGGAATTCCGGACTGTATTCTAGGTGTTCCAACAAAACCCAGGAGACAGACAGTGTGTGCGCGCACCTGTGGGAGGGAGGGCAGAAATCTGACGTTCTGCTGAGTTTCTTAATGTTTAGGGAGAAAGGAAGCCTTAAATATGTGATATTGAGAGAAATATAAACCAGAGTTGTCAGTGGATAACTGATATCCACCGATAACATAGAAATAAGATGTTGAATGCTAATTTTACTATAGGGGAAAATTTTAATCAGGCAAATAATGAGAAAAAAAAATTAGAAAGCAATAGGAAAATGAAGAAAATGGTAAATAATACTGCAACAGTGATCACAACATGTTAAACTCACCTATGGACTCTGCAGATTTCACTTAATAGAAATAATTCTAGCCATGTTTAGAAGCCCCTCACCAAAGTGACAGAGAAAAATGACAGAAAATTCAAAACACAAAGCACCAAGCAGGATACCAAAGCTATTCGAACACTGATGAGGAAATACCTTTCATGAGCTTTTTCAAACTGAGCAACTGAAACTTATAAAAGAAACTGTTAAGAGAAACCGGAAAACATAGCAATAGCAGAACCATTTAATGTGTTTTTCTTAGAAATGAACAGATAGTACAGGCAAAAAAGAAAAAAAAGAGAGTGAGGGGAGAAGGCAAAAACACAATAAATTCGAATAATTTACAAGCCTGATTTCACACGTTACATAAAACTTCATACCAAACCAACATGCACTATTTTCAAACGTCAGAACATTGACCACGATCCCCTCCCCCAAATCACTCTGCAATTTCTCCTGGAAAAGCGCAGAACCCAGCACCTCCGCAGTGAGGTGAGGAAGCACACACGGAAGGCTGCTAGTATTTGTGCACCAGGATCACAGGGGCATCCTAGTCCTGTGCTGTCCAGGACAGCTGTCACAAGCCCCCTGTGGCCACTGAGCACCTGAGCTGTGATTAGTCTGGACAGATAGGCTGGAAGCGGGACACATACACACCGATTTCAGGCTGAGATAGCTCATTCATACTGTTTCTGTCCGCTCATACTGAAATGAGATACTGGCTCAAACTATTATTAATTTCACCTGTTTCTTTTTCCTTTGTATTGTGGCTTCTAGAAAAATTTAAATCACCTTTGTGGCTCATGTATTTCTATTGGACAGTGCTGGTCTTGAAACAGACCCAGGTTCTCCATCTTCCTGCTCATGTCCTTCATGACATTTCCCAGTGGAGACCATTTTCCTTTCAGATCAGCAGAGGTTAAACAGGTTTCCCCTTTTGGCCTACCTGCCGCAGGTGTCTCCTGATTTTACTTTAAATTTTAATTTTTCGTATAAGCACAATGATTGATCTCTTCTGTTGCACTGTTTTGTCTTGTTTTTCATTCTAAGTTTCAAAACTATCCTGTGGGCAGATCCTTTAACCACAGTGGTATTTATCTGGGGACAGAGCAAGGCACCGTCTTCCTCCGGTGGCTTCAGAGGAGCCATGGTTAAGAGAGCCTGGCATGGGTAAGGCCTGGCTTTGAGTCTCAGCTCTGCTTCTTCCAAAACCCACTTTCTAAAGTCACCACCTTCTACCTCCAGAGTCAGTCCCTGCTTCACTGGGCTGCCGTGAGGACCAAGTCTACCTGTAAAACAGAAGAGTAAGCACTGTAACTCTGGCTACTGTTTTCTCCTAAGCCTGTAATGGTTAGATACCTCTGTGGCATAACTGACGCTGTACGAGATGTACCAGAAGCCAGAAGCCAGAGCCCAGCCCCCATGCTGACATCCTCCTAGGACCAGCCACCCCTCCCATATCTAGCAGGGCACCAAGGACCAGAGAGGAGGTCACCAACCCAGACACCTTTAGTGAGAACAGGCTGGAAACTCGAGCCTCCTTCACCCAGAATCCCACCTCTCTGCCCCACACCCCGGGCAGATTACCAAACCTCTCTCCAGCACTAGCTTTTCTCAGGAGTTTTCAAGCTCACACTTAAGCTGTCCCCTGGATGGTGCACAGGTAATTAATTCAAAAGACAAGTCTAAAATATACTTGCCCGAATGGTGGAGTTAGAACCCTATAAATCTGCTCCTCTGGAAAAGTGACAAATTACTGGCAAAATGGTCAAAATCAACTTTTTCAGAACCCTAGAAATTAACCAAAAGCCCATAACCATCAAAGAAGTGTTTTTTCAGAGTACATGCCTTCACAACCTCCAACTTCTTTAATAAACCATCCTGAAGGCTCAGCCGAGAGAACCTGAGACACATGAGCAGCCCACTTCATTTCCCTCACTGCTCTCCCCCTCCCTCCATTGGGGGGCTTTATCGAAGGATTCAGACCGTGTTGCTTGTCACCCAGGAACCATCCCAGGGGAAGGCCCTGTCCGTCTGGACCATCCTGGCTTTGGTCTCTGCTCATCCACCTCCCTATCCCTCTTCCTGCACCAAAATTGTGTGGTTCCCTCCTTTAAAACCCCTCAATGACTCCCGAAGATAAATTCCATATCCACACACCAGCCTTTGTACTCTCCCCAAACTAGCTTGAAGGCTCCCATATTCCCTTTCTGCTCCAGCGATGAGGGCTGCACAGAAGCTGAGACCTGGCTGTAACACTTGGCCAAAGTCACACCAAATACCACTGGGACTTGGGCTCCCAGCAGCTAAGACTGCACGCGAGCTTGATGATTTCACCTCACTGCCTCACGGGCTTGGCACCATTCATCATGTTCCTATAGATGAAGGAAACCGAGGCTTTAACCATGGGCTACCACAGCTCTGTGGGAGGATTCCTTCAGTGACGGACCCTCAGGCCATCCCAGCTCTTGAGAGATCCCCAGAGGCCTGGACTAAGGGGCCTTTAAGAGAAGGGACTAGTAAATCATGGTTTATTATCTGCTTTCACCATGTAAATGTATGTATATTTTGTAATTCTTACCATTACAGTGATAATAACTTCATAGGTCTATTAAGAATGCATGCCCGGCTGGTGTGGCTCAGTTGGCTGGGCGTCACTTTGTGCACCAAAAGGTTGCTGGTTCAATTCCGTCAGGGCGCATGCCCGGGTTGTGGGCTCGAGCCGCAGGGGGCCCTGCACAGGAGGCAGCTGGTGGATGGGCCGCTCTCACATCGATGTTTCTCTCTCGCGCGCCCTCTCCCATCCTCTGTCTAAAAATCAATTTAAAAACTATTTTTTTTTTTTTAAAAAAAGAATGTATAACCAAAGAATTGTGGAAACCAGTGCTTTAAACTCAAACCTGGCTATCTGAGACGCTCACTGGGGAAGCCAGAGGCGGCTCGCTGCCACCTGTGGGCACTGAGGGAAAGGCCAGATGGGCATTTCTGGCTAGCCCGCCTTCGAAGAGCCATGGCTCTCCAGGCCACCACACTGCAGCCACCCTTTCCTCCCCAGCCTTCTCACCATGGAACAAATGAACTCGAAGCTCTAGTGTATACAATCCAAGATTTACATAAGCTTAAGTTGCTTATTTAAAATCACACAACGCGGGAGGAGCCAGTTTAAAAAAGAATCAAACACACCACCGCAAGGTAATTCAATGAGCTGCTTTTTTTTTTTAAACAAATTTGTACAGAAGAAAAAAAATCCCCGGATCACAATCTATATCATACAGTCGCCCTGTTCGGTATGCGGGACGCCACGGGAGCCCCAGGAGGAGGAGCTGATGGGCAGCTGGACTGTGGAAGTCACTTCTGCTAATGGATGACATGGGTGTGGGAATACCTTGACTTCCCTTTGTTCTCCAGTGTATCTTGTATAAAATATTACATTTTTAAACACATTATTTACAGAGTTTGCACAAATAGAAAATGGTTACAAATCACAACCAGGCTTGGCCAGATAACAAACACTTCCCTTCTCCCTCGGACCAAGGCCAGAGAGAGGTATGAGTGCTTTGTATTTACATATGCATTAAAAAGTCTGCCTTCTTAGACACCTAGGTGAAGTTTATAAAAGCTGGTTAAACATCATAAATTCATATATGTCAGCTGTACAAGTAATCAAAACCAATTAGTTCATGTCCTGCTCCCTGAAAAAAGATTCTGAAGCAAAAGAAACCCTCTCAAACAAGCAACACATCCCTTGGCCTGTCTGCTCCAGTCGGTTTGGTTTGGGGAGGGAAGGAAGTGGGAAGGAAGGAGAGGGGAACGGGCAGGAGGGGGACCAGGACAACTTGGTCGCGACAGTTTTTTGAACAGCTTAGAACCAGGTTAACCCGACTGGCTTGTTAAACGCCATCCTATGGCTTTAAAAAGAACCCATAGCTCCTTCCTGCCTCAAAGACGGAACACCTCAACATGACAGTATGAAAACAAGGACTTTCTGAGGAAGACAATGTTTGTTATTCTGATGTAAAGTCTCTGCCTTGAGTGCCAAGCAATTTCAACAGTGCAAAAAAAACTCGAGCGGCGGTGGGGACAGGGGTCAGAGGCTTGTGTAGTAGCTGTCTACCCACTGAGCAAGTCCTCGCTCCACCAGCGACCGGTTTATCAACACCACCTAGAAAAGAGAGTTTCCTTGAGAGCTCTGCCCAGGGCACCCAGGGGCCATTTCTCAAGCCAGTGTGGATTCTCCCTCCTACAGTCCCAGGTGGCCACCGTAGGAAACAGGTACCCTAGTAATGGCAGTGTGTGTGTGTCTGAATCAACAGGGATATAGGGGTGTTTACTTATGTGTTTTGCTGGCTTGAGGACAGGCTTTTCAATGCACTAAGAAATCTAAGCTTTAATGCCATGCGATGGAGAAGAGGAAAACCCACTGGAGAGAAGGTCCAGGAAGACCCACAGACAATTATGGGCCTCGTAATCCTTTGCTGTGGGAGCTCTCCTGTGCACTGTAAAATGTTTAGCAGCATCCCTGCCCTCTACCCACTCCCCACTGTGTCAACCACAAAGGTCTCCAGACATCACTAGCTGTCCCCTGGGGGTCCCTTGTCTGTAGCTACATCCTCTGACTAGCTCCACATCAATCATCAATGCTCGCCAGTAACTCAGAGGGGGAAGGACAGAACTTACTTCATCTCCTTCCACGCTCCACAGCTGGATCAGAGGGATGCCAGTCGGACTGTAATTCGTCACCTGAAAACAAACAAAAAAACGAGCCTATTTAAAAGTTACCCCATGCATCTCTCCATGGAGATTGCTGGCCAGCCCAGGGCAGGAGCCTCAAGAAGGCAGGCACTGAAAGGTCAGCTCCCAAGAAGCCCAGATGCTGGGGGAAAGGCCGAGAGGCACTGCAGAAGCCGGGAGGCCCCTCACACAGAGCCTGTCCAGCCTGCCCCGCCCCCAACCACGCACCTGAGCCAGCAGTGCTGCGTTTCCCGTCATCTCGCTCACAGCTGCATCCGCCTCGGGTGAGAAGTGCTCATCGTCTTTAGGAGAAGGAAAAGCAGCATTTAGACTCTCGCTGAGGCAAGCGCTCATCACTTACACACTTCCAGGTGTGTCCCAGGTCAAAGGCCTCAGACGCTGCCAAGGGACCTGGAGAACTTCACCTGGGAGAGCCGCCTATGTCAAGAACACTGCTATGTGCTACCACAAGAGGAGAGAGGACCAAACGGACAGAAACTCTGCCTTCGATCGAAACATCATCACCACCACCTATCTGGGGGCTCACTGGGCTGAGCACGTTGGATGAGTTCTTCCACTGAATCAGTAGCACCCCATGAGATGGAGGGTGTTTTCCCCACTTTACAGGTGGGAACATGGAAGACAAAGGCTGATGGCCAAAAGTCAACCAGCTCCCAGAGGGTGCAGGTGGAATTCAAACCCGGGCAGTGGCCACACAACCAAATATGGGCAGTAACTATAGAAAGCAAGCAGGACACCGAGGCAGCATTCTCCGTCAGATTATAGAAGTTACATACAAGAACACACCCAAGGCAAGAGATGGTAAGGATGTGAGAGGCAGGTTTGCGAAGGTCTGGGGACATCTTATGGAGGAGGGAGTGTTTCAGCTGGACCTGGACAGACTGTTGAGATGGACAGAAATGGAGAGGAAGGTTGGGCAAGAGCAATAAAAGGACACAAAATGACCCTGCCCGGCATTCTAGCCAACAGGGCTGCAGCCAGACTGTAGTGCTTCTAAAGCATTTCCTTGCTTTAGACAAGAACAAGAATAGACTGGGCAGACCTGGGGAGGGAGGAGCATGGAATCAACAGACTGGTACCTGCAAACATAAAACTCCTGGTGATAAGTAGCTGCTACCTGACCAGTGCTGACATTCCAGTTTCTAGGTTTATGTAATTCCCTTGGCCACCCTGAAAAACAGGCACTACCCCATTTTCCAGAGGCTAAGTAACTAGCCCAGGATCACACTGCCAGTCTAATGATCACATTCTCTCAGGCAATATGATCAGTCTAAGACACCATGGCGGGCAGGTCCATGTTAGTGTGGTCCCCACAGCACCCCCAAAAGCTGAGGCCCAGTTGAGCCATGCCAATGGCCTCTATGCCTGCCCTGGACCTCAGGTGCTAGGACTCTGGGCCTCAACTATGTTCTGAAAGGCACCTGTGGTCGAAGCCTCTCTAAGTTGGAGGCCTGGGTAAAGTCTAGAGCAGTGGACCTGAAAGAGTGGTTCATGGACCAGCAGCATTAGCCTCACTTGAGAACTTAGAAATACAAGTTCTCAGGCCTCCGCCCAAAGCTATTAATCAATCAGAAACTGACGGTGCCAGCAATCCACATTAGCATAAGCCCTCTAGGTGAAAATCAGGCTCTCAAAGACACAGACCTACTCTCAACAACTGCCCCCCCAGCCCTCCCAGAAAAAAGCCCCCACCTGTTACCTGACAGGGGCATCACGCTGTCCAGAAGGACTTCTGCTCCCTGGAATGGTAGGGTCACAAAGTCGGACCTAGAGAAACAAAAAAGGGATGCATTGAACATGGACCGGAAAGCCATGGCTGATAGTTACCTTCTGTTAATGCCGTGACCCCAGCAGCCCAGGATGAAACAGAGCAGAGATACCCATGATGGGCAGCAGACCTCAGCACCCACACACCTGAATGCAGGCTACCAGCTCTGCCACAAGCCTGACCTTAGAGTTTGCATCAAACTCCTAAAAAAAAAAGCCTGCTTCGCTTTTGCCATGTTACTTGGCGGAATTTTTCCATAAGACAGGACTTTCTGGCTCAGTTTGGCTGAGGCGAGCAACGAAGTTTGTTTATATCGGACTCTGCTAAAGCAGAGCAGTAGTAGGAAGAATTAACCCATTTCCCAGGCTTGATAGAACTCAGCCAGCTACGTGGAAATCAGCCCCTTCCTAAGCAGCCTCAACTCACCGGATTTGACGGAGTACATCTACTTTCACTCTCTTATATCCACCGTAGTCCACATAGCGAATCTCAACTTCATTCGTCTCCTCATAGGAGGCCACCACTTGGGCTCGCCACCAGGCACCATCCACACCGGGGGCTGCACAGATCACTGTGACTGAAGGGAAGGAAGAGAGCCTGTGGGCGAGCCTGGCCCAGGCCAGAGCACCAAGGGCCACCCAGTCAACACTCGCCACCTCCCCACATTCTTTCCCAGAGTCTGCCTGCATCTCCAAGCTGCAGGTGACAGGATGGCAAGGAGTCCCCGAAGCCTCTCAGAGCCTAAGACCTGCCAACAGAGGACCTAGATATGGGAAAGTCAGCCTAGCGTGTATGCCACCCAAAAAATATCCAGACTAAAAGCATTCATCCAGATCCATGAGACTTACTGAAGCCTAAGACAGACACAGATGAACTAGAATAAAAAGTAAAACAGAAAACTCAGAGAATGGAGACTTACATTCCTAAGAGAAAGTCCTAGAAAGTCTCAAGAATCTCCAAGTGTAGCAGATATCAGTGGCCTGGTATCTAGGATCTGCTCCAGCCCATGACAGCTCAGATGGAGGACTGGTCAGAAGGGGGCTCACAGGCCTAAACCCCACTTCTTCTCACCTCTGCTTCAGGAAGGTGCTGAGGGCACAGGTACCCTGGATGGCCAACAAGGCCAGAGAGCAAGCATTCCAATAGTCACCAACCCCATCCTGGGCAGCAGAAGTGGGGCAGACTGAATTGTAAAGGCAGTCACAGGTGGCACCCGTGGCAGTTGCCCCAGGCCAGCTGGGATGGGGGTCTGTGACACAGCTGACCACACTGTGTCCTGACCCTTAAAGGCAGCCCCTGGTACAGTCACCTCTCAGCCTTCAGTTTGGTCTTTACTGCTGGGTTGAGGCAAAATTATAATCTGGCAAAAACTAAAATCTTTACTCCTCCATAAGAAAAACATACAAAATGCTACAGATAACCCAAAGTTTCCCTAATGCTTAAAGTCCATCAGGGGCTATAGGTTCAGGGTTCTTGATGGGGATGAGTGGAGCGATGTTCTGACACTCGATTCCTGCTAACAGGGCAACAAAGATAATTATGAGAAAGAACAGGCTCTCAAGGGTCCAGCGGGGTTTGTATACTAGTTCCTGCTCAGGTATCACTTGGGCAAGCCACATGACTTCAGAGGCTATTTTCTCATCTGTCAAATGGAGATGACCAAAGCCCACTGCAAGAGTTTCTATGGGAACTTCTATGGGAACCTGATCTGCATCACATAGATACTTTATATATAACACATGCAGTATCCAATCCTAATTCCTGGAACAAGTGGGCATCAATCTCATTCAACAGGTAAGTGGTAGAGCTGGGATCTGAACCCATGTGTCAAAACTCTACTCCAACCCCATGGCTCCATCAGCCAGTGGCAACAGCAACTTGGGCTAGCCAGGCAACTCAGCCCAGAGTAACTCCACATCAACGGCAAGAAGTCAGGGCTGCTGGTCCCATGAAGGATCCCTCCTCCTAGTCAAGACAAAGGGCAGAACAGGCCACCCCCAAAACTTCTTCCCTGGCCTGGCCAAAGCCCAGGACTCCCGCCAACCTCCAGGACAGCACTTACTTTCCACAGGGGTGGGCAAGGTGGGGATTCCAGGCTGAGAGTAGCAGAGGTACATTTGCTGGTCCAGACTGCGCAGTGCATGGAAGGTAGGGTGCGTGTGCTGCTGCACAAACAGGTGCCCGGCGTTGACCTGGTTGACCACGATCACCTCTACAGTGATGCCATCCGGGAGCATGAGCTGTAGAGAAGGGAGGGCAGCAGGCACTGCAGCAATCCTTCTCTTCTCATGTTTGGGTTAAGCCCTGAGGCCCCAGGACAAATCTCTGAACTGGCACCTCTTTGAAAAGAACATGACAATCCAAAGTACATGGTACCCAGATGGTAGGAGTTTGAGGAAAACTACTTTAGCAACAAAGTGGACACCCTGTGGCCCTTGTCCTGCCATACCATGAGTAACCACTAGAGGCGATCTCATGTAGAGCTGGGCAGGGAGGCTTCCAGGAGCAAGCTGTGGAGGTAGAGCTGGGCCTCCCTCCCACTGACCCCCCAGCAAGGTCCACCTGTCAGACCTCCCCCCACCCCCATTCTTGAGTCTGTAAGACCCAGGGAAGGCCAATGAGAATAAGGCAGGAACTGAGAGCAAGGTGCCAAGGTGGGCAAGTCCTCGGGCCCTTCAGCCAGTTCCTCTGGGCCTGCGGCTGGCCCGAGGAGCTTAAGGTTTGATGGCACCTCTCTACTCTACCTTTCTGCCAGCAAGGGTCCACCGTCAAAGCCTGAGTCATATTTGCTCTTCTCTAGGCTCTACCGACATCCTCCCAACTCATTCCCAGGCTGGGATTTGGAATGTAGGGTTGCTCAGTGGTCAGGCCCCACCTTAAAGGCCCTAGAAGAGGCCAAGGCTAGCCTGTGAAAGAACTGTCCTTAGACACCAGCTTTCCCAATGCTAAGCTACAGAAAACATCCCAGTGCTCTGGACAGAGCACAGCATCTCATCCACCTTCTGGCCAGGTGGCACAAGAGGCTCTGGCATCCACCTCTCCAGTCTCACAGCCACATCAACCACTCAGTTACCTAAAAATAAAGAGTGGTTCTGGGGCCCAGTTTCCTAAGGAAAACACTGATTCAAAAGTGAAGTGTGGAGTGAGGTTCAGCCCACTCCCAAATACCCACAGGAAAGGGGCAGCCATCCCTTCCCAAAAGGCATAAGGATCTCTGGAAAGGCAAGATACAGAACCAAAAAGTCCACTGTCCTAAACACAAGCCAGGGAGGGAATTTTCTTGTGGCAGCATGTTCAGCCCATGCATGAAATGCATCCAGTCATGCAAGTCATGGGGATGTTCTGGTCAGTGAGACTGTACATACAATGGTAGTGTACCACACAGGCCAGGTGTAGTAGGCTACACCATCTAGGTTTGTGTGACTATACTCTGTTCACACAACAAAATCGCCTAACCACACCCTCTCAGACATATCCCTGTCACTAGGTGACACGTGACTGCAGCCTCAGTGAGACATGGCCCAAATAAAGCAGGAGGTACACTGCAGGACATGAGTGACAGGCCCAAGACCCTGTAATCCCCCAGGACATAGGGGCTCCCCCAGATGTCAGCTCCTCCTCTTGCCAAACTCCCAGGGCAACCACCAAAGAGTCACATGGCTTCCTGTGCCTACAGGGGATTACCGCTTCTCCTTTATATTCTAGGTACCTCCTGGGAAGTGGAATGGGAAGGAATCCTTCACCAGGGCCACCACTAGACCTGCCTCAACAAGGAGTAAGGAATGAGCCATTACAAGCCCACAGCAGTGGGTCTCATCCAGATACAGCTTCAGCTTCATGGGTTCCCACACCAGTCTGGACTGCCCAGTCTCCTGGATGGACTACAATCCTTTCTAGGCAACTGCCTTGAACATAAAGGATAACCAGGTGGCAGAGCCAGGGGAGAGTGGTCCTTCCAATCAGGGACCAAGAAGTCTCTGGCTTCTTACCAGCACTCCAGCCTCTGACCCTTCCCTAGAGGATACAGGCTAGAAGCAGAACTGACCAGTGAAGACCAGAGATGAGAGGGCACAGGCATCAATGAGCTCTTGGCCATGGTCTTGGGAGTTTCTTGTTTGGGGGGTGTTGGTGGGGAAAGGAGTGCAAGAAGCCCTGGTCCTCCAGGAGCATGCTCACCCAGGAAGTCATTGGAAGAGAAGGCAGTGCCAGAGAAGGCAGTGGGGGAGCATAAATATTGGTGAGGTTCAGTTCCTTGAACTTCTTCCCAATCAAGTTCAGCGCCTTGTCTACATGATGCTGAGAGCCTAAATGAGGGAGAAAAGCAGGGTCACAGTGGGTAAGACAAACATGGCAAAACCATACCCATTCCACAGGATTTCTCCCAGAGTACAAGTGCACCTTTAAGATGCTAAATTTTGCCTTAGGAAGAAAGGCACCTAAAGGCACTTGAAACCACTGACCTTCTATGTGGCAGATCTGCACATTCTGGGTGTAAGGCAAGGTGGAGATGTAGATCTTGGCACCAGATGTTTGCTTCAGAAAACTCACATACCGCCCCTGCTTGCCAATTAGCCGACCGACTAAATGCTAAGAAAGAGAGAGAGTTGGTTAATGGAAAACCAAATCCCTACACTCCCAAAGACCTACCTCTGTTTTACACAAGGTCAAACTCAAACGTATTTGTTAACATGTTAGCACTTCTTTCCCTGGCACTATTCTAAGCACTTGCATTTACTCATAGCACTTAAGGAATGGATACCTTTTTTTATCACCATTTTACAGATGAGGAAAACAAGCCCAGAGAGGCTAAGTAATTCACCCAACATCACATAGCTACTAAGCAGCTGCGCTACAAAGTCTGGCTCCAGGACTCAGCAGTTCCCATTTCATCCCTGACAATGTGGTCCGAATTCTGAAAGCTGCAAAGGCAGCATTTTCTCCTCCCAGATCAGACTCAGATGTTTCACCAGCACAAGGATCAATTTACGACTCTTCCACCTCCTCAGGTCTACTCAAGACCAAAGATAAAGGGTCTCAACTTGAAAATAAAGGTCTAAGAAAGAACCTTTGAGCTCCTGCTGCCAACTGATAGCAGGCTGGAACCTTCAGAGCCCGAACCTCGCAGAATGCCCAGCACAGCAGAGTCAAGGCAGACAGAAGCAGCCAAACTTAGCCATGACGTAAGATAGCCTCTGAAACAATCCCAAATGAAACGACCCCACCCCCATGGAGCTAGTAGGGACCTGGTCCCTCAGTGCCCAGAGCTGCTCAGGTACACTCTTTGCAGCCACTGAAGGAGAAGAGGGCAGGGTGGCTATCAGGGTCACTGGGGGAGAAAACAACTGAGGGAGCCAGCACCCTGGGTCCGAGCAGCCCATCTGACCCACAGTTCAAAGCCAGCAGTCTCTACACAGCAGGGACCTAAATGCCCAGGGAGAATGCAGTGGGCCAATTATTTCTGAGCCCCAGAGATAAACATCAAGACCAAGCTAATAAGTTGTAAGTTAGAACAGCAAGAAGCTAGAAACCACTTAAGCACCCCGGAATTGGGGACTGGTGAAGTAAATTGACATTCACATAATGAATAATGCAGTTAAAATTACATTTTCAAAGAGTAGCACAGGAAAATTAAATTGTTAAATATTTAAAAACATTAATTAAAGCAACATAATCTCAGTTTTGTTTAAAAACCACAGGGTATATACAAGACGAAAAGGAAATAAGTCTTCCCAGTCACTCTCGGGGGTAGGATTAGAGCTGATTTTTATTTTCTTTATGCATTTCTATACTTCTCAACTTTTCTAAAATATGGATTTATGTTGTGCTGAATTATAAAATACTTTGCATTGGACAAGAGAGCTTGAGCAGAGCACAGTGAAAGGACTCCTGGCTGTACCATGTCCTTTATCTGGTTTTGCTAGCATCTCCAAACAGATCTGAGCCCTGGGACACACAAGAAAAGCCCAGAGGAGGTTAGCTGACCTGGGAGTTTGAAGAGGACAAGAATAGGTCGCTCCCGAAGGCAGCTGGAGAAATTCCATTTTGCAGGAAGTTCTTTGAACCTTGGCAAAGTGGAGCACTCCCTTTCCCTTCAGCCTTGGGCTCAAGCAGGAGAGCTTCTCCTGGTTGGCAGTCCCTCCCCTGGGCCCTACCCCCTAAGCTCAACGCCCCTGGACGTAGGGGAACTTTAGGCTTGCAGCCCTTACCTTTGGCACCTCAATCTCCCAGATGATGAGGTCCACTTTCTTAGGATTGGAGCCTGCCTGAGCATTCTGGAAACTGTCGGTCTTCCTGAGGCCACAGCAGCCATCCACCGAATCCATGCTGTTCCCGTCTGAACCTGCAGGGGAGCGCAGCATGCATAGACACCCAGACACCAGCTCAGAGCAATTAATACCACACAACTCCCAAACTCACATTCCTAGGAGGCCCCCCACCCCCCACCCCCTCCTCAAGCTTGGCAGGTGACTGTCAACTTGAAGTCTAGAAGGCTCAGAACAACCCCAATGAAAGGAGGGCTGGGGGTGTAGATACACCTAATTTTAGACTGTCACTTACAGTCCAACTTGCTTAATTGGCAGCTGCACCCAGCCACAGCTGCTGGGGCAGACAAGTGGTGAACTGGGAAGAAACAGACACTGGCCCAGGAAGGGGCAGTCCACAGGGTGGGGGAGGGGATGGGCCTACAGGTCCACATGGTCCCAGGAGCCAGGTATTAAGTGCAGGCCTCCACAGAGACCAACTGGTCACAACCAGTCCATACCCTTCTGACAATGCCAGCCCCTCAGACCAAGGGTCCCTAGGTTCCCAAGGCCCCCGGCCTGGGCTCACAGTCAGTGGCCGTCAGCCAAGCAGAGCCAGAAAGAGTCCCCCTCCTCACTGGTTTGTCTGAGGATCCCATTCTTATTCCTGATCAGGGCCCTGCCAAAAGTGGCCATGGAGGCCTTCCTTTTCCTCTGCTTAGGCCCAACTTATGCAACTCTGAATGCTCTTCTGGGCTCATGGTGGGTCTTTAACCCCCTGGCCCAAAGACTGAGCTAAAGCTCACTCCCAAGAGGACAGAGTGGGCAGCAGGAGTCTGGCACTGACTTGATCAAGTGTCCCAATGGGACCATCAAAGAAAATCAGGGGGCCAAACCTGCTTAAGAGAAATGGTGCTTGTTTAAATATGGACAACTCAATTGCCAGAAACAGATGACTCCTGAGATTCTATTAATTAGGTTATCTTGCACTGGTTTCTCCAAACCCCGGGCATAATCCTTTGCCAAGCAACCCGTGTACTCTGGATGCACAGTACAGCTTAGGAGATTCCCTCCCAGCTAAGTCACCTTGAAAGTGACCTCCTCCCTTAATACCAGGGGCGCTCAGCCTCTACACAGCAGAGCAGGACTGGATGGTATCCTCCGCCCTGATGACACCCAGAGGTGGCTCAGACCATGTCAGGACTCTAGCAGGCTACACTCACGGCCAGCTTCCAGCTTCCTCACACACAAGGCAAGGTTACCATGAGAATGCAGGTAAGACACAGTCTGGTGCTTGGCACAACTGAGTGCTCAGTGATTGATACTACTAGGCTTCTATATGCCGTCCCCACACAACCTCACACCTCCCCACCCATCACCATGCTCAGTCACAGCCTCCTCCTCTGCGAGAACTAAACTCAGAAGCCTTGGTAGCTACTACCAACATAGGGCTGGGCATGACAAGGCCAGAGGGCTTGTTAATTAACCTGAAGGGAAAAAGGCAAAGGGAAACTCCTTTATTCTTAAAGGATTTTTCACCCATTTTAAGATGCCTTTTTTTAAAAAAATTCCACCTTTTAACATCCCTAAAGTTAGGGTGCATCTTACAGTCTCTGACCTTCTACACTCATGATTGGCAGCATTTTTGTTTGTTTGTTTCCAAGGTACATAAAAAACTGTAGTGTCATAATCAATAGCATTTTAGAGGTCGCAAAATGTAATGTGTGGTACACACCAGGTGCTGCTGAAAGATCTGAATTCCCAAGAAAGAGTCCCAACCTTTCTGGAGCTAAAATGATAGAGAAAGGCCCAGGGCAAGCAAGTCAGAGGCCCTGCAGGGAATTCATGGGCTCTTCCCATGAGATCAATGAAAATGCCCCAGGGTAGCTGCAGAAACAGGGTCAGGAGCTGCTGACCTGGAAGTTAGCGGGTCTGAACTGTCTACGCTGGGGTCAGCACTCGAAAAACCCAGTGGACACTTCGTTACCAAAGTGCCCCTCTTTCCCGGGGGTGGACCTGCAGCTGCACGGAAAGAAAATGGCTGAGGCGCTCTGCAAAGGAACAGGTGACAGCAACACGCAGCAGAGCGCGAGCCTCCCACAAGTACGCAAAGCTGGGGCCAATCTCTGGGCACTTACCAGGAAAGAGCTTCTGGAGAAGGAAAGCAGGTGAAGACATGGGAATAAGCACAAGATTAAAAGGAAATAAACCATTAAAAAAAGCTCACACCCATTCTCGGTACTCAAGAGAATTAAAGCTAAGGAGGCCCTCCATTAAAAAAAAACAAAAAAAAAAAACATTAACGGGTTAGTGTTTAAAAGAGAAAAAGAGGCACACTTAGGTCAATTGGTGAACCCAATTTTGATCTGGTTCCATCAGATGGGCTAGGGAGGGTCATTGGCTGCAGAATCAAGTTACAGCTTCCAGGACTTTGGGGTTCAAGGCAGCCTAACTTTTCAGTTACCCACCAGCTCTATGCTGTGCCCTGGCTTTCTGCAGGCCAGCTGGGACACAGAAGTAGCAGAGAGAGAGAGAGGCAGACTGGCAGCCTTTCCTACTGCATAAAGGGGGACACCCAGTCCTCTGAATAAGGAACGCCCAAGACCCTCCTACCTCCCGAATGATCTGCTTCTGCATCCATGGTCCATCCATCCTCAGTCCCCAAGTCTGACAACTCCCCCTTCAGCACCCCATTGCTGAAGGGCACAGTGCTTTGTGGCAGCAGTGAGGTGGTGGCCTTGTCCCTGGGGCTTGAGTTGGTCTCTGTACAAGAGTCTTCGAGCCCTGAAGTGCTGACAGAATCTGAGCACTGCCCGGAGGAGGACACTGAAGGGACGGCCTGGCTGTTGTCAGACATGCAGGTGACACAGCCAGCATCTTCCTCCAGGACATCTGCCTTGTCCAGCAACTCTCCAAGGGGGGTGGCTGGTGGTGGGCAGGGGGCCAGGGAGATGTGGTGCACAGAGTTCTTTGGCTTCATGTCCTTGGTGGGGCTGGACAGAGGGCTGGTCAGACAGCTCACATAGGTCTTTGGTGGTGGCGCGTCCTCTACTGGCAGGCCTGCCAACGGGAGGGCAGCGTCCAAGGGGCCTAAGGCTGCCTCCACTGTGGCTGCCTCCACTGTGGCCCGAGTGGGATCTGAGACATCTTGCTCGAGGGCAGTTTTCTGGCAAACTGGGGGACAGCTCTCCTCCTTCTGCCCCTGGGGCTGACTAGCTGAGGCCTGATACATGCAACTTGCAATCTTGCCCATGGTGGTGGTGGCCAACACTTCTTCAGTCGCATCCAAGATCACTTTGGAGATGATCTGGAAGGCAGCCTGCTCAATCTCCTCATTTTTACCCAAGGTCTCCTCTTTGCTCAGTTCTCCAGCCCAGGCTTGGCCACCTCTGACCCGGGGTGCCGGTGTTTCATCATCCTTGGCCCGCTCCACCTGAGCCGATTCAATAAAGCTACTCAACAACTTCTCTGCTGTGTCCCCCTCCACCAGAAGCGGGCTGCTCTTCCTTTCCTCTCCCCCTCCTCCCAAGGGAGCCAGAGTGGGTGCCTTGCTGCTCTGCAATGCAGAGCCATGCTCCAGGGACAACAAGCCTTCTTCCAGCACACTTTCTCCCAGCACTGCGTCGCCAGTGCCTTCAGCCCCCAGCTCTCTCGCCTTCTCCCCAGGGCCATGCTTCTCTGTGGGGGCTGCGGGCTGGCCTTGCTGGTCCCGCCCTGTCTCGTGCCTGCACACCCCAGCAGCTTCCTGGGGGAACAGAATAGCCTTTGGGGATGGAAGAGAGCACTCCAGAGGAACAGGCTTGGCTTCATCACCCGCCTGGGCTGTTTCCACCCTTGCACTGTCATCTCTGCACGTTCCTGGTCGAACTCCCATGTCTGTGGTGTTAGGCAGGCTGCCTGAGGACTCTGATCTTCGACAGGCTGGATGTGCCCTCAGCAAGGCTGGGGGCTCTGTGGAAGGCTTGCTCACGGTGGCCAGCTCCTTTTCTGCCGGCTGTGTGACACTGGGTGGTGTGGACACTATTGCAGAATGGGCATCTTCCACAGGGGCCAGTTCCCCGATGGCAGGGCCAGCCCTCAGCTCCACAGCGCTGGCCTCCACTCGTTTTTCATGGCTGCCGACATGTTCTTTTTTACGAGAGAAAAACCACCACCAGCCAAGGAGTGCTAGCATTCCAGGCAGTGCCAAGGGGAAAAGTGAGCGGAACTGGATGGCCATCCTGGAGGCTTGAAGAAGTTATACCTGGGAGCAGGAGGAGAAAGAGGTGACATGAGAGTCTGGTAAGAGGATCCTGATGCAATTGCACAGGAAAGACAATCGACAGGTGACAGCAGAGCCGTGTGTGCTCCTTCCCTGTCCCTGAAAGGAGTGCCACCCCTCACACCCACTGGGTGAGCCACTGGAGGTAGGTGGGCAGGAAGAGACACCCCCCTCTGCTCCCTCATCCACACACACTCCCTTGAAACAAGCTGAGCCTTCTCTTGAATAAATCCCTTCCTTCATCATTTCTCAATGCCAAATTCCCCCAAGGAGCTAATTATGTTTAGTGTTTTAGTTCTCTAAACTCACAGAAATCTTATCTACTCAGGTAGCATACGAGCATTTTTAAACACCCATGGAATCCACATGTACGTATGTCCCTCACATGAACCCACAAAACCATGAGTCAATAAAACATTCGTTACACAGCAAGAGAGCCAGAACAAAGAATGAGTAAGGACAGGGAGATGCTCCAGGGTGAGGGGCCAACAAAATACACACTGTGGCATGGACACTCTTGGAGAGTCAAGACTTGGAGACCTAGGTGAGTTAAGAGAAATGTTATTAAGGGCCTAGAATAAGGCAGTAGAGATGTAAAGGAGATAGGTTTTTCATCTGTAAGATGAAGAACATATAGGATGACTGGTATAAGGATTAGGTGAGATATGTAGCAAGTGCTTTGCAGAGCAGGGTTATGTGAAGGACTTATCCTAGAATGCTTGTATTCAGTGCCTCCCGTGCCAGCAAATTTTATTCTGTATGCAAAAATTCATGTCTTCTTAAAACCCCAAATCGTCCACTAGCATGGTGAATTACACCTTAATTTGTGTTTGTGCTTAGCTGTAAATGCTTTACCAACTCTAGCTGTATCTAAATGTTTTCTGGCAAAACCAGAAGTGAGCTCAATGATCAGCCGAGGCTGGCAACACTGCTCCAGGACTTTGCTTCTCAGAGCACAGTCTGCAGACCAAAAGCATCAAGCATAACCTGGGAACCTGCTAGAAATACAGTATCTCAGTCCCACTCCAGACCTACTGCATCACAAGCTGCATTTTAACAAGCCTCCCAGAGGATTCACAAACACATTTGAGAAGGTGCTAGGAAAAGTGTTTCTCTAAGTGATGGGGGTGTAGGAGGGGGTGGGGAGGAGGTTATCTCCAGAAAGTGCCTCATCTTTAAAGATAAACCTTCCTGCTAATATTGGAAGATGAAGCAATAGGATTGGAAAATACAAAGCAGAGCTAAGCAGCAGCCAGGGCTCAGAAGACGTTGTTAATCCCTCCAGGTGGAAAGCTTCAATGAAGCTGCCTAAGAGCTTCAGATTCAAATGACGAAACCTCACTAGACACTTTCTCCTGCGACACCTAATCACCACCTAGTTTGCAATGTATTACCATTTTAAAGGTTTAAAGAACTCAATGTTATAAAGTCAAGGGAACGAAACTCAGGTTCTACTCCACATTAAATCCAAAATCCACTAACTAATGGATCTGTGGGGATAAGGCACTGTATAGGCCAAGGAAAGAGGAAGTTCGTACTGCTCTTAAAACTTTATGACCATACCTATGACCCCCAAATTCCCAAACCTGGAATCTTTTATTTAAAAACATAAATAGTCCTAGCTGGTTTGGCTCAGTGGATAGAGCGTCGGCCCAGGGACTGAAAGGTCCTGGGTTCGATTCCGGCCAAGGATGCGTACCTAGGTTGCAGGCTTGATCCCTGGCCCTGGTCGGGGCGAGTATGGGAGGCAACCAATCAATGTGTCTCTCTCACATCGATGTTTCTCTCTCTCCCTCCCTCTCTCTCTTTCCCCCCTCCCTTCCACTCTCTATGAAAAGCAATGGAAAAATATCCTCGGGTGAGGATTTAAAAAAAAGTAAGGAAAAAAATAAATAAAAATTTAAAAAACTCTGCATAAGCAGAGTTCTATATAAGAATGCTCACTGGGGTATTATTTGAAACAAAATTCAGAAAAATCATTGCTAAATATATCATAAAATCCAGGGACAAATCAGTGTTAGAAAAGTGAGCTGATTTCACGTACTGACATGGAAAAACTGCTGTGATGCCTAAAATAAAAGCTGTACCACCATGTGCATGTGAGGTCTGTGTCCACTTAACGCCATGAAAAAACAGGGATCCTATCAAAAATGGGTAGTCTTCCTTCTTTTGGGGAAGAGAGGGTTTTGTTTTTTTTAATTTATCTTTATTGTTTAAGTATTACAAATGTCCCCTTTTTTCCCCCATTGATTCCCTCTACCCTGAATCCCTCCCCCAGGCCTTCACCACACTATAGTTGGTATTCCATGGGTTATGCACATATGTATATAAGTTCTTAGGTTAACCGAGAGATTTTTTTTAGTTTCAGTGGTTCTCCAACTTGACTGCACATTAGCACCACTTGGGACGCTTTTAAAATCCCAAGCCTGGCCGAGCATGGCTCAGTGGTTGAGCATCGACCTAGGATCCAGGAGATTGTGGTTCGATTCCCGGTCAGGGCACATGCCCGGGTTGCAGGCCTGATCCCCAGCAGGCGGTGTGCATGGGGCAGCCGATCAATGACTCTCTCATCATTGATGTTTCTCTCTTTCTCTCCGAAATCAATAAAGATATACTTTAAAAATAAATAAATACATAAATAAATAATAAAATCCCAAGATGGCTCCCAATTTAATTAAGTCAGAATCTCTGAGGGTAAAATCCAGGTACCAAGTTTGTTAACCAAGGTGACTCCAAAGTGCAGTCAAGTTGTAACAACCTGCACACACCCAAAAAAGTGGGAGATTATGGAATATTTGCTTTGTGTTCAACGTCTTTCACATAAAAATAAATAAAATTTGAGAAGGAAAAGAGGCTACGGGGGAAGGGTGCTCTCAGGATACGGTAGTATACAGGAGACACAGCCCCTGGTCAGGAGATCAAGTCCCACCCAACAGGTCACCTGTAACAGGAAGTGGGGCTGGGATCAGAACCCAGGTTTTCTTCTTGTTAGTAAATTTAGATTCTGAGTCCTTATTAACTAGACAACCCTATTTCAGCAGGGTGTATAGTTATGATTCCCATAGTATTCTAGCAATTCTCTGATCTCAGGAAAAAGAAGAAATGGAATGGGATAGAGAGGAAGAAAAAGAATCCTATCTCTTAACAACCCATAGGTGGCAGTCTCCCATTTTACACAGAAGGACCCAAGGCCACAAACTCAAACT